GAGAAGCACCTGAGTCAAGTGTGAAGGTGTGCAGTGCTGCAGTCGACTCAGTACCAGGGGGCACAGACGCACAAGCACCTAGAGCAGCAGCGGGGCTGGCCTGAATGCCCGGGTCGGGCGGAACACGCAAGTACTGAGCACCCTCTCCACTAATAGACATCGCATACATGGCAGTGAGAATAGCATCAAAGTCAAGTGCCCAAATATCAACACCCTTCCTGAGCAGATCAGCCCAGCGCGGCAGCTCACCCCCACCAGGAAACTGGGTGCGCCACGCATCGTTGAGGCGGGCGAAGCAGCGCTCCGTCTGGTGCGGCCCCCCACACGTCTGGCCAGTGCGGTCACCTGTACGAATAACGTACTGGCAGGTGACGCTGCGCCGCGCATACCACTCACGGGCGGCCTGAAGGGTCGGGGCAGGCTGCTGACTCTGACCGCCCCCCGGGCCTCCACGACCACCACCCCCTCCGCCTCCGCCCCGGCCACCTCCACCCCTGCCGCTGCCACGACCACCTCCGCCTCCGCTGCCACCTCCGCCCCTGTCACCACTCCCAACACCGCTGTCACCTCCACCACCGCCGCCACTAGCCTCTCCAGTCGCACCTCCACCGCCACCACCTCCACCCCCGCCTCCTCCGCCACCACCCCCACTCCTGCCACTCCTGCCCCTGCGTCGTCCGCCTGAAGCAGACAGAGGGGAGGAGGGGGGAAGGGGAGCACCCCTCGAAGAAGGGGCCGCGGGGGTCGCCACGAGAGGTGCCTACAGCGACGATACTAGCCTCGGCTGCAAGCAGTTCCTTCTCGAGGAGGGCTATGGTGAGCTCAGTGGGGGAGCGAGAGAGGAACTGGTCCCTGACAGGGCGCAGAGAGTCAGGGAGGCGGGTGACAACGTGGTAGAGAGTGATCCAGAGCGGGGGGGGGTTGCTAGCGAGGAACTCATCAGGCATGGCAGCGCGAAAGCGAGCCTCACTAGTCTTAAGGTGGGTGATGAGGTCTGCGACAGTGTGAAAAGAGGCTAGGTCGGGGAACAGGTAGGGGAGAGTGAGGCGGCCTAGTGTGGCAGAAGCGGGTGAGGAGTAGCGGGCCACTACAGCTGTGTAGAGGTCCTTAGCAGTCTTGCACTGGCCGAAGTGCTCGCGCTCATCTAGCGGCAGGGAGTTGCGAATAGCAAAGCGAGCGTGCGCGTCACGGGTCTGCCACTGTGAGCGCTCAGCTGGGGGGGCAGTAGCGAGTGGGGCGGTCGCATGGCCAAGAGCGTGGTCGTACAGTGTAATATCTTCCTTGGCAGTGAGCTGTAGGAAAAGGTGCAGGTCATCTAGCCAGGTTTCGAATTTGACCGGACGGCCCTCGGCGTCGAAAGCTAGAACAGGAGGACTAGCCATAGCGACAGCGGCAGTAGTAGAAGCAGTAAAGTCACTGAACAGGCGTGCGCAGGGTCAGCAGGGCCGGTGGGGCCTACGGACTGTAGTGGCGCACAAGCAGCAGTAGCAGGAAGTGTAGTAGTAGGATCTGCAGTGGTGCACAGGCGCAGCAGGCGGCAGCGAGAGCCGGCGCAGCAGGGGCGGGCTCAGCAGCGGTGATACGCGGGCGGCAGCGGGCGCAGCAGCGGCGGTGCGCGGGCGGCGGCGGGCTCAGCAGCGGCGGTGCGCGGGCGGCGGCGGGCTCAGCAGCGGCGGTGCGCGGGCGGCTGCGGGCTCAGCAGCGGCGGGCCGGGAGCAGTGCGGGCAGCGTGCGGGCCGGCGGCGGTCAGCGCACGAGCCGCGCAGGCTCAGCGCGGGCTGCGCGGGCTGCTCGCGGGCTGCGTAAGCGGGTCGCGGGCGGCTCGCGGGGGTTCGCGGGCAGGTCGCGGGCTGCTCGCGGGCAGTTCGCGGGCTGTGCGCGGGCTGCGCGGGCTGGTCGCGGGCTGCGCAGGCGGGTCGCGGGCTGTGCGCGGGCGGTTCGCGGGCTGTGAGCGCGGCGCGCTGTGCGGTTCGCGGGCGGCGTGACGGGGCCGATCGGGGCGCTAAGGGGCGACGCGACGGGGGCCGTGAGAGGCCGCTAGGAAAAAAAAAAAAAAAAAAATTTCGACGGGGCCGCAGGGCCGCTAGATCGTGCTAGATCGACGGGGCCAGCGGGGCCGGAAACAAGCGAAGGTAAGCAGGTAGGTAAGTCGGTGGGCCCTAAGAACAGTCCTAGCGAAGGACCTGCTCTGAAACCATGTCAGAAATAACTGAGCAGGAATGAATGAACTAGAACAGAGTTTGGTACAAGTAGTAAACCCTAACTTTGTGTACCCCCTAAGGTGTAACCCACTACAGCCTAGACAATATAAACATGCAATGTTTGACAGGAGCCGCGTCAGCGGCAGGGCGGGGCCGCGTCAGCGGCAGGGCGGGGCCGCGACAGCGGCATAGCGGGGCCGCGACAGCGGCCTAGCGGGGCCGCATCGGCTGCAGGGCGGGGCGGCGCTCTGGCCTGACGGGCCTGCAGGGGCGGCTCGCGGGCCTGACGGGCCTGCAGGGGCGGCGCGCGGGCCTTACGGGCCTGCAGGGGCGGCGTGCTGGCCTTACGGGCCTGCAGGGCGGTGCGCACGTAGCTAGGGCAACAGTAGGCAGTGCGAGAGCTGCAGGACGGCGCGCGCAGCGCAGCAGTTACAAGGCAAGGCAGGGGAAGGCGCGCGCAGGACAACACGTGGGGTAGCGCGGTAACCGCAACGGTAGGTGGGCCCGAAAAAAAAGACGGTCCTACGGACCTAGTGCTCTGAAACCATGTTAGAATCTACAGGCATGAATGGTTGGATTGAAAGAGAGTTGGGTACAAGTATCAAACCCTAAAGGGGTTGTACCCCATATTGGCTACCCCACTACAGCCTACACAAATATAGCATGTATAATTTGACAACTACTTTACTGTGATGTCCTAACACATGCAAGGATTTTCGCCGGGTCGGGTGCCTCAAAGGCCCTATCTATCTAGATGTTCCAAGTGCGTACCGTACGTGTGACCGTCGCACAATTAGAGTACGTTCTTGGCCGGTGACATGCTCGCTGACACGAAGGTCTAAACGATTGCGATCATCCCACATCATCATCATAATTCAAATCTCAACCCTTCACAACTTCTTAGAATACCACACACCAGCCAAGAACGCACCCTTAGTGACATATTGTGATGAAAACATTTAACTACAACAATCTTAGTCCTTTCCAAGGTCCGGGAGCGTCAAATCGAGGATGTACGATGTAGGTTGATTGTGTTGATCTCTTGCTCAGAATCTGCGATTAGATATGTTCCTTCTGTTAGTCAGTTGTTTCCAGGTAACCTTGCTCAATGCGAACTGTCACAGCTGTCATCACAACAGGCTGCCATAGCGGTGGTGAGCTGATCTCGTCTGTACAGTATCATCGTACGAAACCAGATCCTGCTAGAATTTCTCGCATCCCTCTCCGTTCCGTTTCGTAGTCAACTTTACAACGGAGCATCTCGCAGTAACTCTGCGTGGGGATGACTCGTGTCCTTGTTACATGTAGAAACACGCTCATTCGAGAAGAGGGATGGGAAGGTGTGTGCCTACGAGGGAGATCGCCAAAACGGGCTGGGAGGAGAAAATGAAGAGGAATATGGCTCACGAACCCCCTCCCATAGTCGTATCACGGCAGTCTGTGTCGGATCAAATGGTAGCGATTCTGATTATATTGTATCGATGTCCTGACGGATCAGACGGCCGACAAGAGCGGCAGAGGGTTGGCCTCGTGCCGCCCAACCCAACTGATCATAGAACATTCTTTCGTAAACGCGCCGCGAGGAGGGACTCCTCGTAAGCATACAGACGAGCATTGGCGAACCACACGTCCTTACAGCGCCGCCCCTTTGCTCCCTTACTACCCGCGCCGCTCTCTCGGAACTTTCAAATCCGCCAGCGCGCGCCGAATGAGGAACAACAGAATCGATGCTTCGTTTGGTGACGTGGATGAGGAATTTTGTCTTGTCAACTAGGCGCGAAGGTGGGAGAGAAGCAGGCGGAAGGAGAGCACTCGCAAGGGGAGGGAGCAAGAGCAGCAGGAACAGAAGCTGGAGACTGAATCTTCTTAGCATGTGGTCGGTCGAATATCTGACGAACTCGCCTTCGCCCCTTCCGTTATTTCCCGACAAATTCCGTGACGACAGTCCATCACGTGACGCTATCATCCTGCTCCCGTGAGCTTCTTGTCATTGTCCCCCCGCGTTCACATGTTACGTCGAGTTGGAAAATCTCTGATTCAGCGGCGATTGGAAAACGAGGAGGACACATTCTATCTGCCCTCAGATGCGCGTGTAGGTGATGACGCACACTCGCTCGACGCCAAGCGAATGGGTAATTGCGGAAATTCGTCGACTTGGCGTTGGATGCAGACCACTCCTAGCACCCCGCCACGCTCTGACTCCAAGTGCGATGTTGCGATGCCTGACTCGTTCCTTAGGCGCCTCAAAAGGCAAACGCCCGCGTCGAGACAGTTCGTGGCTGTAGAGTTGCCATCCCGGCGTGAGAAAACTCGTCGTGCATTAAAGATTATGCTCCATGATGGCAGCTGAAACGGTGGACTGCGGCTGTGGGAGGTGCCTCACAGTGGTGGAAGCTGGCTGCGAGTCGCAGTGCCGCGTTTCCAGCAGTTCCCTTCGCGTGCGGTGGTTACCAGCAGCCTCGCGCTCTCTCTTATCGCCTTCAACTCGTGGCGGCTGCGGCCCTTGGAACCACAGGCCAAGTAGTAGGAGGAGAGTGAGTAGTAAGGAAGGCGTCGAAGCTACGGCGGTATCAATACTCACTTTTTCCTTTCTATATTCTCTCAACGTTGACTCCCATTTCCTGTAATCCGGGCTATCGAGGCCTCATAGCCATTTCTTGGACTTTCGAGTAGATTTTCCTGCCTTATAGGTGCTTAGACTTTGCGCCTTGTATCTCAGGTAACATCAGGAGTAACACCTCCCAGTGACCTCACGCGAAGCATCCTTGAAGCAAACTAGAGAACGTTTGACCTGCAGAGATGGACAAAAGACTTGTCTTGACGGATGAGGAGGAGAGTGGTCCCTTGAGAGAGCTCTTGAGGTGCCACGAGCGGCTTACCTTGGACGCGCTTCAAGAATCGCATATAGAGACTGAGGAGGAAGAGAGTGGAGTCTTGGGTGAGCTGTTGAGACGCCAAGGACAAGTTGGAGACCCCTTCATTGCAGCCCTCATGCATCCGCCTAGCCCATCCCTCGAGGCACCTCAAGGCTCGAATGAGAGCACCGGCCAGCCGCTGTTGAGGCGCCAGGGACAGCTTGAGGAGCTCGCCATGGCGCCTTGCATGTATCAGTGCCGGCTGCCTGTGAATCCCCAGGACCCCGTGCTGTTTCCGTCCCATTCACATGCTCCTCAAGTCCCTGTTTTGGAACGAGCCGTGACGGAGCTGTTTCAGGAACAGCAACGGCAGCAGCAGCAGCGGCGGCAGCAGCAGCAGCAGCAGCAGCAGCAAGTGGCAGTGGAGAGCTGGAGCGCACATGGTTTGAGCGCCTCCGGAACAGACAGTATGGTGGTAGCAGGCGGTGGTGGTGATGCCACTAGCATTGACAGATCTGCAGCAGCATCGGCCTCTTTGGTGCGACAGCAGCAAGCGGCGATCAGAAGCTGGGTGGCACAGGCTGAGCTGGCAGGGCTGTCTCTGCCTCCCGATTTGATCCGAGAATCTGCACATGCCGCCCGTTTCGCGCAAATGCAGATGCAGATGGAGGAGCAAGGCGGGATAGGGGATGTGCCTCTGCATGCTATTCCTGAGTGTTCTCACGTGCAAGCTGAGGGGGAGAAACCCACTCTGGCTTTTTCAGAGCAGGTGGAGAAGGGTGGGTGCTTTGGTGCAAGGCAGGAGAGAGGGATGTCGGAGGAGATGATGATGCTGGAAGCTCTCATGGCGCACCATGGAGAGATGCCGTGGGAAGGGATGATGTGGGGTGGACGGGTGATGGAGGCGGGAGCACCGATGCCGGAGGGACGGATGATGCAAAGTTCTTCTTTTGAGGTGGCTCTAAAGTGCAGAGCACAGGAGCGACAAGGGAGCAACAGCATGGACCCTGCATTGCCAGGCAACCTTACCAGGCGAGACAGCCCCTGCCTTAACTCGCACGAGGATGCATCTCTTCCAGCCTCCCCACCATCACCTTAGTGCTGCTGCTGCTGCTGCTGCTGCCTATCCGCCCCCTGCTTTCTTTATGCCCACTGCTCTTGGTGCTTGCTGCACGCCTGCAGCCACTCCTAGTGTTTGCCATGAGGGAGAAAGAGGACACGCCGTGACAGTGCAAGATCCTCCTGCCACATGGACGCCCCTGATTGGTTTGGAGAAGCTACCGCAGTGGTCAAAAGTGAGGGGAGTGGAGGATGAGAGGGGGGTGGAGGATGAGAGGGGAGTGAGAACGGCAAAGGGGGGAGTTAGGAAGGTAGAGACGGGAGCGAAAGAGGCAAAGCGGAAGGAGTGTGGGTGGGAAGGGGAGGACTGGCGACCGCGCATTCGAACGCGATTGGATGGACAGGCGGTGGGGCTGGGGTGCATACAGGCGAGGAGCATGAAGGAGAGGCACCGCCGCGATCGCATCAGGTGACCATTTTCTTGCAAAACGCCTTCCCCTCTCCGTCCCTCCCTTCCTCTCTTACCTTCCACCCTGCTGTTTCCTCCCTTTCTTCCCTCCTCTTTTCCCTTTCCACCTCCTCCTCCTCCTCCTCCTCCTCCTCCTCCTCCTCCTCCTCCTCCTCCTCCTCCTCCTCCTCCTCCTCCTCCTCCTCCGCCTCCGCCACCACCCGCCCCATTCTCTTCCTCTCCCCCTGTCCACTACTGTTTGCTCCTTCCTCTTCGTTCCCCTCCCCCTCCTCTTCCCATGCTCCTCTTCATGTGGAGCCCTATCTGCCATTTGCGTTGATTGAACATTCAGTGGGCAGTTGGCCTTGTGTGTGGGACCTGAGTTACTTTCGAGGCCTGTATCAAGTGAGCATGTGACCTTATTTTGATCTTGTGCATATATTGGATGTGATTGTATCAGGAGAGGTCTGGAGAAGCTTCGTAGGGTGCTGCCCCCATCTCTCACAAGAGCACAACTCGATACAGCCACAATGATGGAGTCTGCTCTTTCTCACATACGAGACCTACAGGTACACTCACCGGTTTCCTGTGATGTAGTATCAATGTTTGCGAGTGTTAGCAACTACTATCGGCTGGCACGTAAGCATTTTCACAAAATGTGCTCGCGTTGCATGCCAGGCAAGTGTCACCGTCTATTAGAGCTTAAACAATCTCGAAAATGTTTCTGATCACCCAAGGAGCTGTTTCTGGCTTCCGATGGTTTGGTGTTGATGCATCCATGCAGGTCCAGATTGGAGCATTGGAGAACGCAAACGACCCTTTCAGTCGCCTGAAATATGGCAAACGACCCTTTCAGTCGCCTGAAATATGGCTCGAAGATCAAAACACCGACATCTGCAACAGAGGAGGCAACATGTGGCTCAGCAACACCTTAGGTGCTTCCAGGGTGACTCCTGAGTCGATTTAAACGTCACCTGGCTGCGGTTTCCCTGCACTTTCCCAAAGAGTCCACAGCGTTTCACCTGGTGCTAAGATCTCCTAAAAGATGAGCCTCAATCAAGGTCTGCTGATATCTTGTACATGCCATGGCGCGTTTCACCTGAATTCGTGTTGTGACATGCTGGTTGATTATAGTTTGTAGTGTAGTCAGCCTTATTGTACAGGTGCATCAGCATACATACGTAGTGTAATATAGTGCATCTGTTGTAGTTCTGGAGAGCAGTGCATGACGCCATGCATTACCTGATTGAAGCATGCAACCATATGACATTGGTTAAAGCTTTGTTTCGGGCATTTCAATATACAATGATAATCTGACGAATCTTAGGCCGTGGTCGCATGTGTGGCTGATGATCAAGCCTCAGTAATCCCTCGTAGCACATTCCAGTCTATTTCCACATTGCTGAGTTGTCATAACTCCCTCTTGCTTCCATTCACCCCCAGCACAAGCGGCAGCAGCGTGGCGGAGTCCCCATGGAACTTCCAGGTGGCGAGAGGGGAGATCGCCGTGTTGGCTTCCGCGTTGAACTCTGCCACCCGCCCCCCTGCCGCCCGCACCACCCTCACATACCCCGCTGCTGGCTGCAGCGAGTGCGAGGGGGGAGGGGGGGTTTGACAACAGAGGAAAGGAGAAAGGAGGAGGCAAGGCGAGGGGATGGAACAAGATGAGATGGGAGGATGAGAGAGGGCGGGGTTAGTGCTGCCCCCTGACTGCAGCCTGGGCCCCTGACTGCAACCTGGGCCCCTGACTGCCTCATTGGCCTGACGAACCCTGTGCTGGCTACAGGGATGAGCAAGGCAGGAATGAGGATGAGCAAGGCAGGAATGAGGATGAGAAGATGAACTGAATGGTTTGTTGCTGTAGCCGGGGGACACAGTACCAGGGGTGGAAAGGAGTTGCAGGTGATGGGGAAGACACAGGGGGGTGGGACAGGAGGTGAGTGGATGGAATGTAGAGATGGCTCAGGCGCGAAGAGAGTTGAAAATCAAAAGTGGTAACATCCAATAAAAAGCAGCATGCCACTGATGCACATACATGCACACCGCCTCACATGCACACCGCCTCACATGCACACCGCCTCACATGCACACCGCCTCACATGCACACCGCCTCACATGCACACCGCCTCACATGCACACCGCCTCACATGCACACCGCCTCACATGCACACCGCCTCACATGCACACCGCCTCACATGCACACCGCCTCACATGCACACCGCCTCACATGCACACCGCCTCACATGCACACCGCCTCACATGCACACCGCCTCACATGCACACCGCCTCACATGCACACCGCCTCACATGCACACCGCCTCACATGCACACCGCCTCACATGCACACCGCCTCACATGCACACCGCCTCACATGCACACCGCCTCACATGCACACCGCCTCACATGCACACCGCCTCACATGCACACCGCCTCACATGCACACCGCCTCACATGCACACCGCCTCACATGCACACCGCCTCACATGCACACCGCCTCACATGCACACCGCCTCACATGCACACCGCCTCACATGCACACCGCCTCACATGCACACCGCCTCACATGCACACCGCCTCACATGCACACCGCCTCACATGCACACCGCCTCACATGCACACCGCCTCACATGCACACCGCCTCACATGCACACCGCCTCACATGCACACCGCCTCACATGCACACCGCCTCACATGCACACCGCCTCACATGCACGACTCCCGAGGTGCCAACAACGAGCAGCAAGTCGCAGCCTGTGACGGCGCCCTCTGCTGCTTGCAGCACCCGTGGATCCAGACACTCTCCGAACCACACCACGTCCGGCCGAAGCAACCCATTGCAGGTTCGGCCCAAGGCTACACCTTGGGGCAGCTTGGTGCAGCGCGGCAGGTCCTTGAGAGGAATGCTCGCTGCCTTGGCACCCGCGGTGGGCGCTCCCTGCAGCACAGCAAGGCGGCGAGGAGGGGAGTGCAAAGGGATGGAGGCTCAGGAGCAGCCGTGCGAGGAGTGGGCAGACAAGGCGGATGGAGGGGAGATGGAACGGGTGGCAGGATGTGACGAGGCATGGGGAGTTAGGGAGGAGCGGTGGGAGCAGCGGAGAGGAAAAAAGAGGGGAGACGAGGGTTGTTGGGGATGGCAGCACGGGTGGTTGGGATGGCAGCATGTGTGGGTGGGATGATGTGAGAGTGCGTGGAGGAGTGGCAGGTGATGGTGCGACAAGATGTGACGGGGAATCGGCAGGAACAAGTTGCGCAACTGAGTGTACAAGCACACCTCCTCCATCCCCCAGAAAACTTCCATCACTGCTCTATCTTCATTCCCCCCCGGCCCTCCAACTTCTATCACCGCACTCTTCCCTGGCCCACCGCCCCTCAACCCCCACACACCCACTTCCCACCTGTCCCCGATTCCCCTCATTCCTACCACCTCCCAGTACCTTGCTCTCCAGAGCAGTGCAGATGGGTTGAGTGCGGTTCTCTGCGATGTCCCCACAGGAGAGGCAGCGGGTGCGCCAGAGGCAGCCGTGCAGCTCCACCAGCGCGCTGCTGCCCCCCGCTGTGTGCAGCCCGTCCACGTTCTGAGGGGTGCCAGGGGGTGGTGAGGGGTGATGGTGGGTGTGGTCCCAGGGGATGATGAGCGGTGATGAGGGGTGATGAGGAGTGATGCTGGGCATGATGCCAATGCGCAGCGAACAGTGCATGAAGGGCCATGGAGGCAAGAGGAGAGCAGGAGTGACAAGAGGGGCACGAGAGTGGAGTGGTGAAACCAACTCGCAAAAGCTTCTCTGTGAGGCGGGCATGGCAGGCCATCCACATTGCAATGGGAGGCGGGCATGGCAGGCCATCCACATTGCAATGGGAGGCGGGCATGGCAGGCCATCCACATTGCAATGGGAGGCGGGCATGGCAGGCCATCCACATTGCAATGGGAGGCGGGCATGGCAGGCCATCCACATTGCAATGGGAGGCGGGCATGGCAGGCCATCCACATTGCAATGGGAGGCGGGCATGGCAGGCCATCCACATTGCAATGGGAGGCGGGCATGGCAGGCCATCCACATTGCAATGGGAGGCGGGCATGGCAGGCCATCCACATTGCAATGGGAGGCGGGCATGGCAGGCCATCCACATTGCAATGGGAGGCGGGCATGGCAGGCCATCCACATTGCAATGGGAGGCGGGCATGGCAGGCCATCCACATTGCAATGGGAGGCGGGCATGGCAGGCCATCCACATTGCAATGGGAGGCGGGCATGGCAGGCCATCCACATTGCAATGGGAGGCGGGCATGGCAGGCCATCCACATTGCAATGGGAGCATGCGGGAATGAGGTCATGGGGCCATCAAGACATGTAGGCCGTGAAGCAGTGGACAAGCGACATGGCACCAATGCATGCAGCTCGTTACAGGCGCCACACACGGCACTTGCAGCACGGACTCCAAGGGCGGCAGAGGGACACGGTCACACGGCACCTGAGTGAGGAGCGTGAAGGCCTTGCCCTGCCACTGGCAGCGCTGCTCCAGCTGCACCAATGCCTCGTGGCCCGCATTGGGTGAGCACCGCGCCACCACACTCCTGCCAACGAGCCAGGCAGGAAGGGGGCAGGGGGGATGGGAGGGGGAATGGGGAGAGGGGAAGGGGTCAGGGAGAGTAACAGAGGGAGACAGCCAGAGAGAAACCAAAAGAGCCTGAGCACACACAACTGTGGAGATCAACAGTAAACAGAATGGAAGCACCTGCATTTGAAGGTCTTAAAAAACTATTGATCTGGTGGTCGAGCATCATGCATCCTACTCTTTGCTCTACAATGTCGCGACTCTTCGCATGACTGGAAGGACATGCTGACGTCAGAGTACCAGTGCGTAGTGTTTGGCAGACATGAGCACGAGAGCATGTCATTGTTGAAAGAGGAGAGTGAGAGCATGTGATTGTTGAAAGAGGAGAGTGAGCGGTAGTGGTGGAAGAAATGCACACGTGAACGTGCAGATGGGGTCAGAACAAGAGGGTGCACCTGCGCTAGTGGTGGCAGACAACTTCATAGTTGAAGTGCACAAGTGAACGTGCAGATGGGGTGACAACAAGGGAACGCACCTGCGGTAGTGGTAGAACTCCCACACCAGCGATGGGTCAGCCGCAAACGCTTGTGGGGTCGCCAGCTCCTGAGGGCAGCACAGGTGAGAGGTGCATAGGGGCGAGAGGAGCTAGGGCATGCGAAGAATGACGGAAGAATGAGGATAGGCATTGCACAGCAGCACACGAGTGACCCACCATGCCCATCATCCACCATGCCCATCATCCACCATGGCACCCACCGTGGCATCATAAGTGCGCCAGAGCCCCCCCGCGCCTCTGAACGTGGGCACACCCGACGCTGCAGACACACCCGCCCCCGTCAGCACCGCCACACGCTGCCAGGGAGGCAAGGGGCGGTGGAGGACCGGTGAGAGAGGAGAGCAGGTGAGGCAGGAGAGCAGGTGAGGCAGGAGAGCAGGTGAGGCAGGAGAGCAGGTGAGGCAGGAGAGCAGGTGCGGCAGGAGAGCAGGAGAGCAGGTGCGGCAGGAGAGCAGGTGCGGCAGGAGAGCAGGTGCGGCAGGAGAGCAGGTGCGGCAGGAGAGCAGGTGCGGCAGGAGAGCAGGTGAGGCAGGAGAGCAGGTGAGGCAGGAGAGCAGGTGCGGCAGGAGAGCAGGTGCGGCAGGAGAGCAGGTGCGACAGGAGAGCAGGTGCGGCAGGAGAGCAGGTGCGGCAGGAGAGCAGGTGCGGCAGGAGAGCAGGTGCGGCAGGAGAGCAGGTGCGGCAGGAGAGCAGGTGCGGCGGGAGAGCAGGTGAGGCAGGAGAGCAGGTGAGGCAGGAGAGCAGGTGCGGCAGGAGAGCAGGTGCGGCAGGAGAGCAGGTGCGGCAGGAGAGCAGGTGAGGCAGGAGAGCAGGTGAGGCAGGAGAGCAGGTGCGGCAGGAGAGCAGGTGCGGCAGGAGAGCAGGTGCGGCAGGAGAGCAGGTGCGGCAGGAGAGCAGGTGCGGCAGGAGAGCAGGTGCGGCAGGAGAGCAGGTGCGGCAGGAGAGCAGGTGCGGCAGGAGAGCAGGTGCGGCAGGAGAGCAGGTGCGGCAGGAGAGCAGGTGCGGCATAGGGGATTAGCGCAATGCGATTTGCACATGGAACGAGAGCACGATATCACTCTGCATCTCAACCACACATCCATCCTCTACACACCCAACTCCTCTGCTGCACCCTTCTCTTCACCACTCTGCTGCTTTCCCCTTTCTCTGCCCCAATCGCACACCTCACACTTCCTCTCCCCCTCCCCCCACCACCCTCACCTTCTTCCGATCCCAAAATCACCCCAACTCTACCCCGCTCCCCAGCCCTCCAAGCCACTCGCAGAAGCAACTCTCACTGATGCTCGCGACAGGCACTCTCTGAACTCGTCCACGTCAGCTTGACGTGGCTCGCTATTTGACACGGCTGACGTCATCATCCGCAAGTCCCCTCCCCGCGTCGGAAGCTTCGTGCCCTTCCCACGGTGAGGCCAGCCTGGAATGGTAGGTAAGAGCGGCGGGATTGAGTACGAGCAGCTATGCCGAGCCGCCTGCTGAGGCTCGGGCGTGGTGGTTCGGATGTCTCCGGACCTCGAAGTTCGGGGCCGCAAAGAAAGTGGTTCGACGAGAGTGCGCCGGCAGACGGACGACAGACGCGCAGCCGTTGCACGCATGGCGAGAGCCAGCCCGCCGTGGAGTCAGTGCATGTGAACACGCCCTAGTCGTGATGCGACGAACTGCGCAGATAATACTGACGAAGGGCTACGCGGAAGCTTCCCGTTCACGGTGACGTGGGGCTCGGGCAAGGAGAGCGGGGTTCGTTGCAATCAACGCGACGGGATGCCCGCGACACGATGGTAACAAGGATTGAAGGGGGAGCGGCGCGGGGAACCAGGCAGGATGACGGTGAAAAGCGGAGTGCGGTGAGCTTCTTTCGTCCATGCCTCGTCCGCAAGGAGCAGCGCCCACAGTGTTCCGCGCCGCTCGCGAAGGGGTGGAATGCGGTAAAACAACAACGTTTGGCAAAACTACATTGATGGAAGGGTACTTGGGATTCTATAACTTATGAGGAGAGAACAACTCCCACCAAACGTACTCCTAGGTCCCAGCGTTCTCCTATCTCTACACATCTTGTCGGCACAGAATGCACAATGAAAAAGATGAGCACTTGCCAGCAACGGACCGGTCAATGGGCATCACATCACATGAGCACACGTGCCCGGCTTTCACATCTCAACGCACTCCATAATCGTGCAACTTTCACCACTCGCTCGCCAACCACGCATCGCCAAGTGGCGGCTCCCTGGGCACAGGAGGCACGGCCCTCACATCATCTGCCCCCAGCCGAATACCAAACCGGCCCCTCACCACCGCACTGAACTCCTCGTCTGTTGCCAGCTGCTGCTGCCTCTGATCACAGGAGAAAGGGGATGCACACGCATAAAGTGGATGAGAGAAAGGCGTTGGTGATGGGAGAGAGAGGAAAGGGCTTCGCTTTTGGAGGGAGGAGGAGACATGGGCTAGTGCTTCCATGGCGGGAAACGTGCACAAGGAAACACGTACCCGCTGCATCCACCTTCACCCCTCCTTCCCTCCAACCCCTGCAGCAGCAGCTCACTTTCGCAATTTATGTGCACCCTCCTCAACCTTACCTGCCTTCCATGCTTACTTGCCTTACCAAACCCCTCCGCGTACTCGCCCCTCTCACCTGCACGCGCCCCTCTCACCTGCACTCGCCCCTCTCACCTGCACTCGCCCCTCTCACCTGCACTCGCCCCTCTCACCTGCACTCGCCCCTCTCACCTGCACTCGCCCCTCTCACCTGCACGCTCCCGTCGCCATCCAGCAGCAGCAAGTGGCGGTCGCGGATCATCTCGCGAATCACCCCCCTGCCTCCCACCTCGCCTTCGCCCTCGCCCTCGCTGCACACGCGCACCGCCACGCGCGGCCCGCCCAGAAGTGAGGCATGGCGCATGCACTGCAGAGAGCAGCGGATGGGAGGGAGCGCAGGGCGGGAAGAGAAGGGGCAGGGGAAAGGGCTGGCTGGAAGCAGTGGGTGGCACGGGCCGGTACAGAGGCGCGCATGCAGCTGTACTAGGGCTGGTGCCCTGGCATGCTTGCAGCTGTACTAGGGCTGGTGCCCTGGCATGCTTGCAGCTGTACTAGGGCTGGTGCCCTGGCATGCTTGCAGCTGTACTAGGGCTGGTGCCCTGGCATGCTTGCAGCTGTACTAGGGCTGGTGCCCTGGCATGCTTGCAGCTGTACTAGGGCTGGTGCCCTGGCATGCTTGCAGCTGTACTAGGGCTGGTGCCCTGGCATGCTTGCAGCTGTACTAGGGCTGGTGCCCTGGCATGCTTGCAGCTGTACTAGGGCTGGTGCCCTGGCATGCTTGCAGCTGTACTAGGGCTGGTGCCCTGGCATGCTTGCAGCTGTACTAGGGCTGGTGCCCTGGCATGCTTGCAGCTGTACTAGGGCTGGTGCCCTGGCATGCTTGCAGCTGTACTAGGGCTGGTGCCCTGGCATGCTTGCAGCTGTACTAGGGCTGGTGCCCTGGCATGCTTGCAGCTGTACTAGGGCTGGTGCCCTGGCATGCTTGCAGCTGTACTAGGGCTGGTGCCCTGGCATGCTTGCAGCTGTACTAGGGCTGGTGCCCTGGCATGCTTGCAGCTGTACTAGGGCTGGTGCCCTGGCATGCTTGCAGCTGTACTAGGGCTGGTGCCCTGGCATGCTTGCAGCTGTACTAGGGCTGGTGCCCTGGCATGCTTGCAGCTGTACTAGGGCTGGTGCCCTGGCATGCTTGCAGCTGTACTAGGGCTGGTGCCCTGGCATGCTTGCAGCTGTACTAGGGCTGGTGCCCTGGCATGCTTGCAGCTGTACTAGGGCTGGTGCCCTGGCATGCTTGCAGCTGTACTAGGGCTGGTGCCCTGGCATGCTTGCAGCTGTACTAGGGCTGGTGCCCTGGCATGCTTGCAGCTGTACTAGGGCTGGTGCCCTGGCATGCTTGCAGCTGTACTAGGGCTGGTGCCCTGGCATGCTTGCAGCTGTACTAGGGCTGGTGCCCTGGCATGCTTGCAGCTGTACTAGGGCTGGTGCCCTGGCATGCTTGCAGCTGTACTAGGGCTGGTGCCCTGGCATGCTTGCAGCTGTACTAGGGCTGGTGCCCTGGCATGCTTGCAGCTGTACTAGGGCTGGTGCCCTGGCATGCTTGCAGCTGTACTAGGGCTGGTGCCCTGGCATGCTTGCAGCTGTACTAGGGCTGGTGCCCTGGCATGCTTGCAGCTGTACTAGGGCTGGTGCCCTGGCATGCTTGCAGCTGTACTAGGGCTGGTGCCCTGGCATGCTTGCAGCTGTACTAGGGCTGGTGCCCTGGCATGCTTGCAGCTGTACTAGGGCTGGTGCCCTGGCATGCTTGCAGCTGTACTAGGGCTGGTGCCCTGGCATGCTTGCAGCCTAAAGGTGGAAAAAACGCTTGTTTGAAGTTGCGTATTGAGCTTATACGCGTCTAGAATTCGTACGCTGCGTATTTTTCTAAAATTCGCCAGATTTCGCTTGGGCTGACCGGGAAAAAAAATCATCAGTTGAGTTCGCGATCTGGCGAACTCAAATTTGAGTCTCGAAATTCAGATCTGAGTTCGCGCATTGCAAATGCTACCTCGGATCTAAATTTCGAGATTGTTTGGTGGATAATCCCCTCCTATCCACCGCTCAACAACCCACTCCAACCCCATCATATTACCAATCCTTTCCAATGTGTTGCCAACCCCAACCAGACTCATCCTCCCCACTCAATGTTAGGTCGTTTTTCCCTTCGATAATCTCCGCGTTCGATTTTTTTCCTCCCCTTATTTTACTTGCGACGATGACGTACTACCGTAGCGCCCGTCTCCATCTCTTGACCTAGCATCTAACCTGCCCGGGAAAAACTTTTTCCTGCCCGGGCAAGCGTATTCATGTGCGTACCAGACCCCTCATGGCCAGCGTTTTGCGTTTTTACGCTAGCGTTTATACGAAAGCGTACAAAAACCAATACGCGTTTTTTCCAACTTAGCTTGCAGCTGTACAAGGGCTAGTGCCCTGGCATGCTTGCAGCTGTACTAGGGCTGGTGCCCTGGCATGCTTGCAGCTGTACTAGGGCTGGTGCCCTGGCATGCTTGCAGCTGTACTAGGGCTGGTGCCCTGGCATGCTTGCAGCTGTACTAGGGCTGGTGCCCTGGCATGCTTGCAGCTGTACTAGGGCTGGTGCCCTGGCATGCTTGCAGCTGTACTAGGGCTGGTGCCCTGGCATGCTTGCAGCTGTACTAGGGCTGGTGCCCTGGCATGCTTGCAGCTGTACTAGGGCTGGTGCCCTGGCATGCTTGCAGCTGTACTAGGGCTGGTGCCCTGGCATGCTTGCAGCTGTACTAGGGCTGGTGCCCTGGCATGCTTGCAGCTGTACTAGGGCTGGTGCCCTGGCATGCTTGCAGCTGTACTAGGGCTGGTGCCCTGGCATGCTTGCAGCTGTACTAGGGCTGGTGCCCTGGCATGCTTGCAGCTGTACTAGGGCTGGTGCCCTGGCATGCTTGCAGCTGTACTAGGGCTGGTGCCCTGGCATGCTTGCAGCTGTACTAGGGCTGGTGCCCTGGCATGCTTGCAGCTGTACTAGGGCTGGTGCCCTGGCATGCTTGCAGCTGTACTAGGGCTGGTGCCCTGGCATGCTTGCAGCTGTACTAGGGCTGGTGCCCTGGCATGCTTGCAGCTGTACTAGGGCTGGTGCCCTGGCATGCTTGCAGCTGTACTAGGGCTGGTGCCCTGGCATGCTTGCAGCTGTACTAGGGCTGGTGCCCTGGCATGCTTGCAGCTGTACTAGGGCTGGTGCCCTGGCATGCTTGCAGCTGTACTAGGGCTGGTGCCCTGGCATGCTTGCAGCTGTACTAGGGCTGGTGCCCTGGCATGCTTGCAGCTGTACTAGGGCTGGTGCCCTGGCATGCTTGCAGCTGTACTAGGGCTGGTGCCCTGGCATGCTTGCAGCTGTACTAGGGCTGGTGCCCTGGCATGCTTGCAGCTGTACTAGGGCTGGTGCCCTGGCATGCTTGCAGCTGTACTAGGGCTGGTGCCCTGGCATGCTTGCAGCTGTACTAGGGCTGGTGCCCTGGCATGCTTGCAGCTGTACTAGGGCTGGTGCCCTGGCATGCTTGCAGCTGTACTAGGGCTGGTGCCCTGGCATGCTTGCAGCTGTACTAGGGCTGGTGCCCTGGCATGCTTGCTGTGTGTGTGTGTGCGACTCAATGGCACCGGCAGGAGGGAAGGAGGCGGGAGGGTGAAGGGCGAGGTGGGCGCACCTGGAGGAAGTGAGCACCTGGAGGAAGTGAGGTGCATCACGCGGCCACGAGGAGAAGCGATACAGCGCCTGCCACTGCGCCTCCTCTCCACAAGCAGCCCCCCCCCATGCTGCATGCTTGCCATCTGCTCCTGCCCATACCCCGCCTGCTTCACTGGGCCCCACGCGGCACAGCCTCTCCACCACATACCACTGCTCGCCTGCCCTCACTGCTGCTGCCGCTGCTGCCTGTCCACCTGCTGCATGCGTGAGCCCCGGCGGGCACGGTGCTGCCTCGCCACCCACACCCTCCCTGTAGAATTCATCATCATCATCATCATCATCATCGGTATCTGAACTTGGATGTGCGTCCCAGCCACCAGTCCCCTCAGCCATGCGCTCATCCATCCTTGCCTCTACGTGCTCCACTGCCCACCCGTGCACGCCTCTTTCTACCGCCCTCCATCCCTCCATGCCCCTGCCTGCTGCTGCTACTGCTGCTGCTGGCTTCTCCCAGCCGTCTGCTGTGCATGCAGGCGCCACGCTGACAGCCCCCGCACCTCGTCCACTTCCACGCACCCAAGGGGCTGCGCTGCCAGGTGCTGGCGGGTGGGGCGGGGCGCATGGGGATATTCGGTACACCCCTGCGTCCTGGTGCTGTGGGGGAGAGGATTGTGAGGCAGCATGGAGGGAAAAGGCGCGCATGAGTACTGAGAATGGGTGGGAGCGGGAGGAGCACAGCACAGCAAGCAACGAATGGACGTGCATAGCGAATGCGAATGGAGAGGCGAGGAGAGGGAGGGGCGTGCCTGGTGGATGCCGGGTTGGAAGAGCAGCGGCTCCAAGAACATGGGGTGGGGAAGAAGGCTGCTGGGGCAGCAGGGCGTGCTGACGTCAGCGAGCCATGCCATGCCATTGATGTGAACCAGCAGACACATCTGTGTGCGGTGAAGGGGAGTGGGGCAAGGTGGGGTGTGGTGTGAGGGCATGCACATGAATGAGACAATTGAAAGGGCGTGCGGCGAAGGGGTTGTGAAAGAATGAGGTGGGAGGGAGGGCAAGGAAGGAGACGAGCTTGGGAACGGACAGACTAGAATGAATCAAAACGACAAGTAGGAACTAGCAAGTGAAGAATTGGAAAGGGTGGGAGAGATTGAATGCCATGCAATGGATGGGTGAGAGGGTGGGTGGGTGAGAGGGCACAAGGCAGAGTGGGGTGGGGTGGGGAGAGCCAGGGGAGATGGCTCACTCACGGCGTACATGATCAGCCATCTCTGCACTTGCTGACAATGCAGCTGCACTAGCTGACTGGACAGGCCGCTGCGCTGAGTCAGCAGGAGACGTGAGCCGAGCCAAGCTAGCAGCTGCATGATCCGCGGATGATGCTGTGGCAGGCGAGGGAGCAGACGAAATAGCACCCAAGGTAGCAGAGGAGGTGGTAGTGGGTGCAGGCGGTGAACGGGATAGAAGGGAGGAGGATTGAGGGGACTGGTGGTGCGGGGGCGAGTGTGGCGAGCAGCAGGCGAGGGCGGGGAGGAGGTCGACCTGGCAGGCGAGGTGGTGACGGAGCACCCACGCGAACAGCACGTTGGACTGCAGTCGCAGCAGCACAGGGGGGCAGGAAGAGGAATGGGGTTAGCGATCAGGATAGGAATCAGAGGGTCGGCCTCCAAGTGGCCTGGGAACTCGCCAATGTGAAGAGCGCGAGAAACCATGGAGGCGTGGAGGGCAGTAGTAGCCAGAGGAGGAGGAGGAGGCTGGGCTGCATGGGGGCATGGGAGGTGCGGGATGCGAGGAGTGCTGGACGTGGCGTGTGGGTCAGTGACAGCAGGGCGCGGAGGGAGAGGGAAGAAACGAAGACGGAGAGATGGGGATATGTTGAGAGCGACGGACGTCTGACAGTCCTCTCAGACCGCCGCACTCTCGCCATGCCTCATCCTGCCTCGCCATGCCTCATCCTGCCTCGCCATACAGTGCTTCATGCCCATGCACGCTGCCTTCCCCGTGCCCTGTTCACACGGCTGTCGCCCTGCCTCAGATGCCACGTGCACCCCACCCCAGGCACCTCGAATCCAGGAGGAAAACAGGGCCCCTTTCCCACGCCCATCCACCGGAAGAATGCCATCTCGACTGCTCCACGAAAATGCTGGACAGGCGTACCAGGGAGAGCATGGACATGAGCGCACCTGGAAGCACGAGCCCCCGCGCTGCGAGCACACCATCTTGCGGTACAGCGCGCGCTCACCCAGCGCGGCAGGGCTGTCCGCCTCACCGGGCCTGCAAGCAGCAGAGGATGAGCGCAGCACACAAGCGAGCGCCACACGGCGCATGTGGGTGAGGAGAGCAAAGCAGCAGCAGCAGCAGCCGTCAGAACGCCACGCGTGCAGCTCGACGCTGGGCGGCAGTGAACGAGGAAGGGGTGTGGGGGAGGTGGCGTGGCGTGGAGGGGCCGAAGGTGAAACTTGAAAGTGGGATGAAAGAAAAGGGTGAAATCAGTGGCAACTCACGAGAGCAGGTCGAGAGGAATGTTCCTCGCATGTTCCTCATGCAGCTGTCGAAACAGCCCCACAACGTCCTCTCCCCAAGCCCCCTCCTCTCCCCCGCCTTTCCCGCACCCTACGCCTCCCTCTCCCCTCACCATACCCCACATTCCGCCCGCAACCCCCCCGCGCGCACACCCCCGCCGGTAGGGGTCAAGGCGCGCGGGCAACGGGCCGGCGTGGTGCAGGCGAAGCAGGTAGCCGCGGAGCATCTTGAGCGGCGAGGGGCCGTCCGCCTGCTCGTGCGCGTCCCATGACCGCGTCGCCTGCATGCCGGTGCGACCGTTGCGGCGGGGGTGGGGGGAGGGTGCGAAGTCACCGAGTGGCGCGATCTCACGCCTAGTTGCGTGCGAGAGGCAGGGAGGCTGGGATTGATACAGATGGGACAGGGACGAGAAGGCGGTGTGCACGCAACAGTTCGGGAATCTGTGTGAAAGGGCGTGTGCGGTTGGCTTTTTTGGGTTGACCCACCATAAGTCGCCTCGTTACACTGTCAAAGTGTGCTGGTCTGTTGACAAATAAAAAATGTATGCGAGTACAGCTTCCCTAACCCTTCCTATAGCATAAACATCGAATACATATACGGTCGAGAAGGAATACCCAGCAAACCTGTACACTCTATACTGAAACCAAACCTAGCCTAAAGAATACACATCATAATGCATATGTATGTTGACACTATGGTGACATGAATGTTGGGGTACGGTATGATATGGTTATTACGACTAACTATACCGTAATTACCCGACTAATAGCCCCCCCAAAACTATAGCCCCTCGGGTCATTAAATGGGGGCGGGTCTAATGCTATCTCCACTTTCGTAATAAACCCCCTTTTTGTAACGAAGCCGCTTTAGACCCCCCATCGAACTGAGCTGTAGGAAGGCCGAAGTCAAGGAATTCCAAGATTCCAGCTGACATCAGCCTTTCGACCACGCGTTGGTCTTGCGCCAGCGCGTGGTCGAAATTTGCCCCTGATGCGATACTCGAAAAGAGCAGTCGCGATGTATTACGCATAGTTTAGAAAGTAAGATGATACATAAGATTAACCCCCGGGTCTAATAAATTTACACCCAGATAATAAATACACCCCTGTTTTTTACCCGGGGTAGGATTAAACCTGGGGGTGTATTAGTCGGGTAAATACGGTATGTCAAATGTTGTAGCCTGTAGTGAGGCATTTCATTTGGAGTACAATTGTTAGGGTTAGGTATATGTAGCCCAACTCACAGTAATACACACAACATTCTGTTTCTGACATGGTATCACCTAGGTTAGGATCCTGTTGGATCACGTTCCTCCTTTTTTAGCCTCTGGCGCTCGTTGCGCCTAGCCTACCACGCCCGTAGCGCCCTACCGTCGCGCCCGTCACGTCCCGTCCCCTAGCGCCCGTCGCGCCCGTCCCGTCCCGTCCCCTCGCGCCCGTCGCGCCTACCTGCCCGTCGCGTCGCGCCCTGCCCGTCCCGTCTCGTCTCGCCCTGCCCGTCCCGTCGCGTCGTGTCCTGCCTGTCCCGACACGCCTCCCTACCCGTCGCGTCGCGCCCTACCCGTCCTGTCGCATCACGCCCTGCCTGTCCCATCGTGCCTACTCTGCCCATCCCGTCGCACCCACATGCCCGTCGCGTTGCGCCCTACCCGTCCCGTCGCGTCGTGCCCTGCCTGTCCCGTCGCGCCTACCCTGCCGTCGCGTCGCACCTACCTGCCCGCCGCGTCGCGCCCTACCCTGCGCGCCCTACCTGTCACGCCCTCCTTGTCGCGCCTTGCGCTCTACCCGTCGCGCCTGTGCCGCCCTGCCTCTTGTGCTCCTAGCGCCCTGCCTGTCACGCCCAGCTCAGACCTTCTAAGCGGCTGGCAGCCGTAGCTCCCTCCCCTCCGCAACAGCTATGGCGGCGCCTAGGGTCCTGCGCTTTGATGCCGAGGGTAGGCCACTGGAGTTCTCTGTCTGGCTTCTCCATGCGCAGCGCCTGCTAGAGAGTCAGTGTCAGGCTGACGAGTCCCTCTGGGCGCACGCCTCCGGTGACCATCTTGCGCCCTCTGCTCCAAATCCCCTAGGCGCTAAAAACACCATTGCGGACAGGGAGCGTTTTGCACGTCACCGCGCTGCTTTGACAGCTGGAAGTTACGCAACGCCGCGGCCTGCATCGCCCTCAGCAGCCTCCTCCCTGAGTCTGAGGAGACCCACTTTACCCATGTTCGCACTGATAGCAAGTTCCTGACTGCGATTAAGGCCCGCTACTCCACTCCCACCACTGTCTCTCTTGGTCGCCTGTTCCTCCCATTCCTGTTTCCTGACCTCGCCTCGTTTGAGCGTTCTGCTGACTTGATCGCTCACCTGCGTTCACTGGATTCTAGCTACCACGCTGCCTGCACTGCTCCCTCCCCCCCCCCCCCCCCCCTTCCCCCCCCCAATGGCGATTAGTATTTATTTTATCGTCACTAGCCTCCCTGACAGCCTTGCCACAATTCGCGACGCGCTTCTTCTGAAGCACCCTAGCGAGCTCACTATCGAGGTCCTTGAGTCTGCCCTCAAGGACGTCGAGAGCAACCTCCACTCGGTAGCCTCCGCCTCTAGCGCTGTGCTCCCCCCCACAGTTCCACGAGTGCACTGTCCCACAGCTACCTTTACTGCCTCCCTCGCCGCTACCGCTACTGATGAGACCGCGGCTGGTGTCACGACTTCTGCGTGGTCTAGAGTTAGGAGTGGCAGGAGGGGCGGCCAGGGTGCGGCCAGCAGCGGAGGCGGCGGAGGTGGCGTGGCGAGTGGCGGTGGTGGGAGCGCAAGTGTTGGTGGAGCGCCTCGTGCAGCTTCTAGTGGCTCCCCTCCTGCAGGTGGTGGAGGTGACGCTCGGGTTTGTCGGGCGCCTGCAGGGCTGCCAGCTGCAGGTGCTGGAGTGGCGGCCTGGTACCTCTCTCAGCAGAAGCAGCAGCAGCAGCAGCAGCAGCAGCAACTGCTCTAGCAGTAGCCACAGCAGCAGCAAGGGCAACAATAGGTCCAGAGTCAGGGGTCAGGACCGCATCAGCTGTCCCGTGGTGACGCCTGCAAATGCTATGTATGTTGTTGTTGACTCTAGTGCTTCTGATTCCGTTTGCTCGCGTGTTTTTTTCTTAGGTGCTAGTGTTGATCCTGTGCCAGTTTCTAGTGCTGGTACTTGCTTAGGTACTCGTCCAGGTACTACTCCGGCGGAAGCTTCGTTGTCTTTCACCCTGGACTCCGGAGCTTCGCAGTGTTTCTTCCGCGACCACACGACTCTTACTCCGCTTCCTGCGCCACCCTCCATAGCACTGGCTGATCCCACTTTGGGACCAGTCATTGCTCACCACTCTACTATGCTTTCGTGCCCGGCTGTTCCTTCGGGTTCTTTGATGGGCTTCCATGTCCCCTCGTTCTCTAGGAACTTGGTGGGCGTGCGGCCGCTCGTGAGTCAGCACGTTGGTGTTTGGTTTGAGCCTTCTGGGGACTCTACGACCTGTGTGGACGGTAACACGTACGCCCCCCTGGCCACCTTTCGCCAGGAGCTGGGTTCTGGTCTCTACACGCTTCATAGTGGCCCCCGCGAGAGGCAGAAGCAGCAGCAGCGGCAGCAGCAGCAGCAGCGGCAGCAGCAGCAGCAGCAGCTGCCTCCGACCCCTGTCACTGCCCCCCGTCAGGTCCCTGCGTCCCACCAGGTTGGTGCGTCCCACCAGGTAGCTATGGCGGGTCATGTTGCGGCGTCTGGTCAGGTTGCTGCTTCTCTGCGTCGTGCTCGTGTCGGTCGCTTGCCCACCCCACCGTTCTGTGGCACAACCATCTTGGTCACCCGTCCCTTCCTCACCTTCGCACTATGTCTAGTCAGCGTCTTCTCGTAGGCCTGTCGCGAGTCTTGCCGTCGCTGCTGCCTTCGCCTGCACCACCTTGTGGCCCTTGTGTCGAGGGTCGGCTGCACGCCACCCCTCACTCCTCCTCCCTTCGTCCGGCCACCGAGCCCTTCGAGACTCTCCACTTGGATGTCTGGGGCCTCGCCTCTCACACTGGTCCTGAGCAAGAGACTTTCTTTCTGATGGTCGTCGATGACTACTCTCGCTACACCACCGTTTTCCTTTTCGCGAAGAAGTCCGACGTGACTTCTACGCTGATCCGGTGGTTGCTCACTACAGAGGGTACTCCTCACGGTCGTGTCAATTGTCTTCATTCCGACCCTAGGGGTGAGTTTCGCTCCGGCGTTCTCGCTGGATTCTGTCGCGAGCAGGGCATCCTCCAGTCCTGGATGCTTCCCGAGTCCCCACGGCAGAATGGGGTTGCTGAGCGCCGCATAGGCTTGGTCATGGAGATTGCACGCACCTCCATGATCCATGCCCGTGCGCCCCATTTTTTGTGGCCCTACTTGGTTTGGTACGCCGCTCACTAGCTGAACCTCTTGCCACGTGTCTCCTGGCCAGGGGTTTCACCGACCAGTCTTTGGACCGGGTCCCCTGGTGTTGCATCGCGCTTTCGTATCTGGGGCTGCTTGGCGCTTGTTCGCGACACCTCCGCGGACAAGCTCTCCCCTCGCGCCCTTCCTTGTCTCTTCCTTGGTTATCCAGAGAACTCCTCTGACTTCACCTTTTGCCACCCTCCCCTTCACCTGCTACCCCTGTCTAGGTCTCCCGGTTCCTTCTCCCCCTCTCTTCCTGGCTCCCACCCCCCCTCCTGCTCCTCCAGTACAGCCTCCCCCCCCTAGTCCAGCCCCGCCAGGTTTGTCACACGCTCCCCCCCTCCCCTCCTCTCCCTCGGTAGCCCCTCAGGTCCCGTCCCCTTCTCCGAAGTCCTTCCTTCACAGGCTGCTGTAGACCCTGAGGGTGCTTGTAATCGTGGCGCGTACCTTGGAGGTGCTAGCTCTGGAGGTGTTGGAGTTGGAGTTAAGAATGTGCCTGCATGAGATCCTGGTTCTGGGGGTGCTGGAGTTGGAGCTGAGCCCGTGTCCGCAGGAGGTTCTAGTCTTCGGGGAGCTGGTGTTAGTCGAGCTGTCCCTTGGGGTGCTTC